CCCCCCGTGTCTGCACATGTGCTTTCCCCCCCCCCGTGTGTCATGTGCATGCACCGTCACATGTGTGTGGAGGTCAAAGGATAACTTGTGGGCCTAGAGAGATGCCTCAGTGCTTAAGAGCACTGGCTGCTCTTGCAGAGGACCCAGGTTAAATTCCCTGGTGGTGCCCAGGCACCTGGAACAAGTTCTGACTATATCTCATGCCCTCTTCTGCGGTCCCTGGGCACCTGCACGTGTGTGGTGCAGGCAGTGCACTGATCCACGTCAGTAAAAACAAATACAGAGAAGAAAATTAGAAATCTTTTAAGAAAAAAGGTGGGGCCAGGAGGTGGTGGCGCACTTTTTTAATCCCAACACTCAGGAGGCAGAGGCAGGCTGCTCTGGTTCCGGGGACAGCCAGGGCTACATAGAAAAACCCCATCTAGAAAAACAAAACCAAAAACCAGAAAAGGTAACCACGTAAGTCCGGTCTTCCTTCTACCTGGGTCTGGTGGTCGAATTCCGCTAGGAAAGGCAGCTGGCACCTTTACCCTCTGAGCCATCTCCCTGTCTATTTCTGTTTTCAGAGATAGAGTGTCATGTAGCCCAGGCTAGCCTCAAATTCTATGTAACTGAGAATAACTGAATTCCTGATTCTCCTGCCTCCAGTTCTCCAGTTAGTGGATGACTGGAGTAGGCTACCATGCCTGGGCGCTGCTGGGATGGAGCACAGGACTTCTGTCTCACTGTACACTTTACCCACCGAATCTTCACCCCTGTCCTCTCCACCTTCGTTCAACATCACCACACCTACTGCCTGGCTGGCCTACAACAGTCAGCCTGTTCCTCTCAAAGCTACAGCTAGTGGCCAGGAAACAGTCCTGTCTTCTACCCCAGGACCTTTGCATACACTGTTTTCAGCCCAAAGCCTGTCCTGTCCCCTTCTCCTTACACCTCATCTTAGTCTCTCAAGAACCATGTTCTCGGCCGGGCGGTGGTGGCGCACGCCTTTAATCCCAGCACTTGGGAGGCAGAGGCAGGCGGATTTCTGAGTTCGAGGCCAGCCTGGTCTACCAAGTGAGTTCCAGGACAGCCAGGGCTATGCAGAGAAACCCTGTCTCGAAAAACCAAAAAAAAAAAGAACCATGTTCTCCTGGGTGACCTGGCTTGATCTCCGTCCGTCCACCCTCCCTCTCCTCTCCTCCCCTCCCTCTTTCTGCCTCTTCCCCTTACCCCTCCTCCTATTTCTCTTCAATCTCTTCCTTCAGAGGCTTTGGTCTCTAAAGACACTGTGTCCCTGTGCTGCTTTGAATGAGAATGGCCCCATGGCCTTTATACTTTGTTTGGTTCCCAGTAGGTGCACCTGTTAAGGAGGGTTAGGAAGTGCGGCCTTGTTGGAGGTGGTCTATCGCTATCACTGGGAGGTGGGTGGTGGGCTTGGAGGTTTCAGAAGCCCATGCCATTTCCAGCTACCTCTCCTCGTCCCTCGTGAGCTATTAGCGCCAGCCTGACCGCCTGCTGCTGTATTGCCCAACTTAGTGGCCATGGACTCACCCTCTGAAGCAGTAAACTCCAATAAAGCCTTCCTTTTGTAAGTCGCGTTGGTCATGGTGTTTTGTCATAGCAATAACTAAGACAGACCCTGAGGCAGGTGAACCCCTCTCCAGCATATCCTGTAACCCTCTATAACTCAGACTATCACACTTCCATGCCTGTTTTTTGACTGTCATCTAAGGGCTGTTCCTAATGGCAGACTGGCCTAATGTGTGTGGGACACCTACAGAAGCACCAAAAGCTCGAGCTCCGCCCCCTCCCCGCTTTAGCTGCACACTCATCTACTCCAACTTGCCTGTGTGTTGTAGGGACCAGTTCCCTTCCCTACAGCCTGCGGCTCGCAGTGTGGGGAAGGCCCAGTGCATGAGACCTTCCAGAGACCTTCCATTCATGACAAGCAGGGCAAGGCGTATCAGAGTCCCCCCTCCGATGCTAGGTTGTGTTACATATGCGCCTTGCTCACACATGGCCTCTCCAACTAGGCCCCACTTCACAACCCTACAGGCCACTCATAACAGTGACAGTGACAGATGGCCACTGGTTAGGACACAGCAGCCACGAGCTCATTCTCACCTTGGGCTCTTTCTTTAGGCGCAGACGGTGGCCCCAGTGTGGAGTCAGGGACTTCTGGGCCACACCCCGGTGCCGCAGATGGAAATACTGGTCGTCAGGGAAGATCTGGGAATGCGATGGACAGGGCCATTGCTGGGACCCTGCTCCTTCCACAGGGTCTCCACGACTTTATACACCTCAACCAGGGGTCCAGATGAGAGCCACGGAATCCCAAATTGAACATGAAGGGGCACACAGACGCATATTTGGGGAGGTCTTGGGGACACCCTCCCATTTGTCCAGGTCTGAGGTTGTCCGCGTCCCACCCACCTGTCCCAGGTTGACGAAGCCAAATTTACGTGCCAGGCGCTCAGCCTCCTGGTAACCTTTGGTCACCCGCACTGCCCAGCTGCTGACATAGATGGGGGCCCGGGCTGAGGCCCACCTCACAGCCAGGAGGGCCAAAGCCAAAGCCAGATCCAGCCACAGCGCTGCCTGGGAGGGCCGCATAGCGGGGGGCGGGGCGGGGCGGGGCTTCAGGAAGCCACCCCAACCTGGACACCATAGCAACCCGAAGCTTTCAACTCCCAAGGGGCCTTGCGCTTCCTTCTTCCCCACCCCACCCCCACACCCGTGACGGGTGGGAATATCCCACACGGAGAGACACATCCATACAGACCTAAACCTTCGGGAACCTCATTTCCCCGCTTATATAAGGACACTCCCTCCATCTGCCCCTTAGGAGCAGGTTCAAGGTAACAGATGCCTTCAACCTTTATTTGGCTCCGCCCACTTTTCTCCACGCCCCTCCTTCGAGACAGCATCGTTTTTTTCCAGTGTAGTCCCGCCTCCTTTGTGATCAACCACGCCTTTTCTGGTCTGTCCAATCAGCGCTGATCTAAACCAGGCCCCTCCTACTTGTCTCTTTACTAGCTCCACCCACGTCAATTGCTCTCCGTCAATAATCTACCTCTTGTCCAATCAGTATCGTGCCACACCCTCTTGACCAATGAACACGCCAGCAGCCTGGCGCCCCGCCCCCTCCGGGCTCTCCTCCCTGCCGCCCCGGCCTCCACTCTGGCCAGAGGGCCATGCGGCCGGGGAGACGGGGCAGGCCCCACCTCCTTTGTCCGCCCTGCCCTCCCATTGGCCAGAGCCGGGGGGCGGGGGCGGAGCCAGGGTCCGGGGCCGAAAGCAGCGGGCCGGGGGCGGGGCCGGGCGGTGCGCGGGGGGCAAAAGTGGTGCGCTCTCGGCGGGGCAGGTGCGCGAGGCTGCGGGCGTGTTTGAGCGGCCTGCCCCGCGCCCGCCGCTGCCATGGACGGTCTGCGCCAGCGCTTCGAACGTTTTCTGGAACAGAAGAACGTGGCCACCGAAGCGCTCGGGGCGCTAGAAGCCAGGACCGGTGTAGAGAAGCGGTATCTCGCCGCGGGTGAGCCTGGAGAGGGGTGCATTGTCGCCTAGTCCCCAACGGGCACCATGAGGTCCTGGGTTCCATCACTGGAAGGAGCGCATGTCATGGGTCCTAGACGAGTTCCAGGAGGCCCTGCGAACCCAGACCTGGCTCCTGGGTCCTGTCCCTGGATAAGTTGTACGACTCAAGTACTGATTGGGCTCCTTGAAGTTTGGGTGTCCTCAGCCCTGGAAGGGGTTTACATCGGTTTCCTACGGGTTATGGGAGGCCCTGGGAGCTCAGACCTAGCATCACATCTCTAAAGCGGACTCTCATCCCAGATCTCTGTTTAGGTACCGTGAGGTTCTGGGGACTCTGACTTAGTGTGCACGTCCTAGGTCCCTTAGGGCCAATACAAAGCCATAAGGACTCAGCCCTGGAAGGAGTGCATATCTCAGGTCCCTGATGGATCTGGTAAAAGGCCTCATGAGGTACTAGGCACCCAGACCAGACTTTAGGCTCCTGCCTGGGAAGGAGTGCACAGCTGGGTCCCCAACAGATAACCAAGATGTCCTGAGTCCCTATCCATGGAAGGGGAACACATTATGGTTCCCCTGGGGACCCTGATATTATCTGGGGACTCTGGTCTACCAGTGGGGTCTCATCCTGGAATTGCAAGAAGGGGGAATTTTCATTTGCCTGCCTCTCCTCCAAAGTTTTTGGAAAAGAGCACCCTAGGGTCCTACAGCACTCTCCATGGGACCTGCCTCCTCCTGGGGCCCTGGATGCATGCCAGGCCACAAGTCTGGTTTTTCCAGTGGCCCAACTGGCCTCTATGTGGGTGGAAAAACAAGAGACAACACCCCCAGCCCCTATCAATCCACTGTGTTCCCAACCAATCCCTTCTCGCATGTTCTCATGGAGAAATGTCCCCATGTATCTCTGAGGCATTTGAGGCCAAGGCTGGAAGGGGACTGACCTAGCACCCAGACACTGGGCTTCTCTTCCTTTGAGCCCTAGCACAATAGCTCTGTATTTGTTGAGCTGAGATGGTGTCTGGGACCTGAGGAGTGGGGAGCCTGCAGGGAGGGACCATCCATCCAAGCACCCCAACTGGATTTAGGTCCGTTCTTGTTCCAGCCCCTTTCTACAGTGTGGTAAAGGCCTTGGCCTGTCATCTTTCTGAAGTGATTTTAGTGTGCTGCTTTTGGGGTCTTCAGAAGCCCACAGCCTTGTTCTGAAGTCCCTCTCCCTTCCTGGATCACAGGACCATGGTGACTCTGTGTAAGGACATGAAGCCCTTTGCCACAGATCCCCCACGGTTCCATGTACTGTCACTTCCTCAGCAGCTGGAGGGCGGGCTCCATACCCTGTGTTTGTGTGGAGGTTCTGATATCTGTGACCAAATTCCACCTGTGACTCAGCACTGCAAGGCAGCTGATTGTCCCACTGCGCGGGCCAGGTACCAGCTGCAACCTCCGTCCTGGCTTTCCACATCACCAGGCAAATTGCATCATAGTACCCTGAGAAGGGGCAGCCAGGAGGGGACTGAGGCCCAGGAGGCAGGGGCTGTGTTGGGAAACCCCTCACCTGTCCTGGTGACCTGTCTCTGTGCCTCTGCTCCCTGCCCTAAGGCCTTTGTCCAAGCTTATCCTCTTCCTGCTGAGGTTGCAGTTAAAGAGATTGAGGGACTAGTACACCGGGAAAACCCTCTCCACCCCCATGAGTGCCAGAGACAGGGTGCCATCCCCCACCTGCTTCAGGACCCTTATCGCAACTGCCCCAGATGGCCACGCTCTGCCCTCAGACATTAAATGAGGCTGGCAACTTTACTTGGGACAGTGGTACAAAGGTCACTGGGGCCAGCTGCTGCCCCCTCCTTCTTCGTCCTCCGGTTCCAGATGATAAGACCCAGAGCAGATGGAAGGAGGGGCAGGGACTCTGAGCTTAGACTCAGAAGCCCGTGTCCCTGCAGATAACAGTCTCTGGGGGAGGAAGGAGGAGCCATCCCAGTCCCAGCTGCCCGAGGGCAAAGGTCCCTTCAAGTGGATAAGCCTTCCCACGTCACCCCTTTGCCCAGCCTCTGACCTTCACTGGAGCACAATAAGGCTCCAGGTCCCCCAAACACAGGTCCTTAGCTCTTCTTTGGCACCTTCTAGTGGCAAGTTCACAATGTGACCACAGCCAACCACAAGCACCCCAGGGTGCAGAAGTCAACCCCAGCCACACCTGCACATGGACAGCAGGTGAAGTCGGAGAATGAGGAACAGCTCACCTTGGTTTTGGGGAGGCAGGGAGTTCGGGAGTTCTAGCACACGCTGGAGAGAGACAGAGACAGAGACGGAAAGCGAGAGGTCTTCCATTGCAAGGTTGCAGTAATCAGATTTCATGGCCCACTTGTTTGGCACATGCCTCTACCTGCTGAGCCATCTGGCTGGCTTCTCCTCACTTGCTCTGTGAATCTGTAACTCCTCGCCTCAAGCAGAGGTCCAAAGATCTGTTTGTCTCTGTCACCTTCTCCCAAGTGATGAGTTTCAGAGAGGCTGCAGCAAGCCTGTTCTTGTTGGTTCTGTTTTGTTGGTATGTGCTGAGTTCATGTCCTCGGGCCTTCGTAGAAAGCATTTAGCCAACTGAGTCGTCTCTCTCCCCTGCCCTTTTGGGTGGTAGGGTTTGAAACATGGATTCTGGAACCCAGGCTCCCGTTGAATTCACTCTGTGGTCTGTGTGCTCTGTCATCTAGTGGTCCAGAGGCTGACATGGGAGGGGTCAGAGTCCAAGGCCAACTTGGGCTACACAGTAAGACCCAGTCTCAAAAACCTCAAAACAAAACAACATCCCCCACATAGTGAATGTGGCAGAGCCTCTAATCCCAGCACTCAGGAGGCAGAAGCAGGCAGATCTCCAGGAGTTTGAAGCCAAGCAGGACTGCATTGTGAAACCCTGTCTCAAAGAGAAGGAAGAGGAGGAGGAGGAGGAAGAAAGAGGCTGAATTCTTGACCCAAAACTGAGCCCTGGGCATCAAGCCAGGGTTCAAGGCCACAATAGGGATTCACTGCCCAGGACGTCACCAGGAAGGAGGTACAGGGAGCTGTCAGACAGGTGCTATGTCACAGGCATTGCCCGACGCCCTTGTCTTTGCAGGAGCCCTCGCCCTTCTAGGCCTGTATCTTCTGTTCGGCTACGGGGCCTCTCTACTGTGCAATGTCATCGGATTTGTATACCCCGCATATGCTTCGTGAGTGCAGCAGGCAGTCCACAGGGGTGGGAGGCTTCTGGTGCTCCCAGATGGCGGGACCCTGAGGGCAGACATGTGTATTCCCATCTGGACAGAGTCAAAGCTATCGAGAGCCCAAACAAGGACGACGACACTGTGTGGCTAACCTACTGGGTGGTGTACGCCCTGTTCGGTCTGGTCGAATTCTTCAGCGATCTACTCCTGTTCTGGTTCCCTTTCTACTACGCGGGCAAGGTGGGCAGCCTGGCCAGCCTGGGAGCCGGAGGGGAAGTGTACGAGTGGCTTCCCTGTTTGACAGTGTGTTGTGTCCCTGTGTGTGGGTCAGGGCTCTGTGGGACAATGCAGTGTGCTCCTATGTGGGGGCTGGGCCCTGTGAGTGACAGCGTGCTGCGTCCCGTGCAGTGCGCCTTCCTGTTATTCTGCATGACCCCCGGGCCCTGGAACGGGGCGTTACTGCTGTACCATCGCGTCATAAGACCACTGTTTCTAAAGCACCACGTGGCACTAGACAGCGCCGCGAGCCAGCTAAGCGGAAGAGCATTGGACTTAGCAGCTGGGATAACACGGGACGGTGCGTACTCTGGGCAGATGCCCATGGGGCTTAGTTCGGATACTGGATTTGTTTTGATTTTTTCATCCCCTTTGAATTTCCTTAAATTTGTTTTTTTGTTTGTTTTTTGTTTTGTTGTTTTTTGAGACAGGGTCTCACTAGGAACTTTCTTTGTAGACCAGGCTAGCCTTAAACTCATAAAGATCCACTTATCTAAGCCTCTTTCTCGAGAGCTAGGATTGAAGGCTCATGCCACCATACGTGGCTAATTAGGTTATTTTGAGACAGAAAGTATTCATTTAGCCCAGGCTACCCTCCCACTCACTATGTAGCTGAGGGTGATCTTCTGCTCCCAATCTTCCTGCCTCTACCTCCTGGGTGCTGGGGTGACGGGTGTGACAGCATCACCCTGCCCTCGCTTGCTCCTGGGTCTCAATTGACCCTCTGTCTGTGTCTGTCCCCGTGACTGGATTTGCCTGTCTGTCCATTCGTCTGTCTCGAGCCTCCTGAGTCTGGCTATGCTCCTTGTCTTGCGTCTCGACCACTCCTGCATGGCTCCACTGTTCTCTTACTGTCCGCCTCTCTCTCCTTGGCTGCCGGGAACCAGTACTACAGGCCTTGGCTCAGGGTCGGGCTCTCGTCACCCCAGTCTCAACATCGGAGCCCCCAGCCGCTCTGGAACCGGACCGTATGTAACTCTCTGGGAGGGGTTGTATAGGGCATATGCATATGGTGTGTCTGCATGTGTGTGCATGTGTATGGCGCATGCTGCTCTGGGCATGCGTGTGCATGTGTATGGTGCATGTGCCTGTGGACAAGCATGTCCCATGAGGAGCAGAGTGCAGAGGTCTATGTTCAGACGTCTGCAGAGACCATGTTCTTACCAGCTCTCCATCAGAGCTACTCTGGCAGGAGGGTCCCCAGGCACCCCCAGCCACCCTCACACACCATCCTTTCCCTCCACAGCCAAGTCAAATCAGAGCCCGCTCCTGAGCCACAAGTGAGGTCTGCTGGCAGTCTGTGTGCGGATCCCCCAGCCACTGACAAGGAACACACAGCTGATGATGTTCAGGCCTCTGACAATTCTTCAGACTCCCAGACAGAGGAGACACAACCGCAACCACAGCCACAACCACAACCACAGCAGCAGCAGCAGCAGCAGCAGCAGCAGCAGCAGCAGCAGCAGCAACAACAACCACAACAGCAGCAACCACAGCACCGAACCTCAAGCCCAAGTAAGCCAGTAGGAAGCCCCTCACGGGCTGCGAATGGGCAGTCCCCGTCCCCAGTCAGCCCAGGCTCCGCATCTGCATCCCGGGGTCAGCTGGCCACTGGCTCTGTCAGCGGCTCCCAGATTCCCAGCAAGTCCCGGCCCCATCGCAGCCGGGGCAGTTTGACTCCCAGAGCTGCACAGCATGCCCGGCTGCCCAGTGGGACACTGGGGTCTGCTCAGCTGCCTATGCGCTCTGGAGGTGCCTCACAGCCCACAGGCCGGTCTTTGGGACCCAATCGGACAACAGGCCGCCACACAGGAACAAACCAGCAGACCCCTCAGGTCTCTGCAGCAGCCCAGCCAGCAGGCCGGGCAGCGGCAGCAGCTGCTGCAGCAACACCAGCAGCAGCACCAGTAGCCGCAACTGCACCCACTTCCACACAGCGTGTCAGCGTCTCCGCCCAGGGCTCGCCTAGAGCCCAGTCTCCCGGTACACCCCCTGACCCCACCCAGGCTGGCAGCAAGGCTCCCGTTGAGCCCGTGGACGCAGGTTCTAAGAGCAACAAGCAGGGCCAGAAGACACAGGTGGCCGGCAGCACCTCGGTGCCCGATCTGTTGGCCCCCTGTCACTCGGATTCCTCTCTGGATTATTTGTCCGAGTCCACCACGGAGATCACCTGTAAATGGCCAGAGTATAGTCATCAGCTGCGCTGCCCAAGACACTGCTGGCTTTTGCCACACTTGGCGTACTAGCAGCATGCCTGGACACCTGTGGGCCACGAGACCACAAGGGACACCTGCCCAAGGGAGCCATGTGAAACACTAGACCACCAGAGCGCCACACAAGAGCCATGTCGAATAGCTGCCCTCCATAGAAACAAGTCAAGCATCTGCCAAAAGGCCACGTGAAACACTCACCAGCCAGGCCTCCACATGTCACTCCCAAGTGAGGCACCTACCACACAGCCATGTGAACCACCCCCACAGCGGCACCACACTTCAATCAGGGTGCACGTAAGACACCATCCGGGGTCCCCCGTGTAACATCTATCCTCCAAAGCACACAATAAAGTCACCGCTCAGGCTCACCTGAGGTGTGTGTCTGCTCAGCGCTGGATGAGCCTCCTGGAGCACCAACCGTGTGGTCAGGCCCCAAGGGAACTGAGGCAGAGGAAGGCAAAGTCACCTCCCCTGGGTCCTGCCAAAGAGACCAAGAAATACGCATACCCAGGCAGGAAACCTCTGTCCTTCCTGAGACAGAATTTTCATATATAGCCCAGGCTGGCCCAGAACATATGTTCTCCCATCTCAGCTCCCCAAGTTCTGACATCATAGCTATGAGGCACCATTCATGGCGTCCCTCTGCTTGAGATAAAAAGATAGTATTAGTGTTTACTCCAGATAGAGAGGGCAGCCACAGGCTGTACCAGCAGTGAGTCAAGTCCATCTGTGAAGCCGAGCTTATTGGGGTTACACACAGGAGCAGGAGTAACTCACCCCGGCTTGGGCTACCAGCCCTCTCCCTGTTATTGTTCAAAGTCCAGAAAGGTTTCTTGGGATTTTCTAAGATTTTTATTATTTTTATGTCTATGTGGCGGCCTCTGCACGAGGTGCCCAGAAAGGGCAGAGGGCCAGATCCTCTGCACATGGCGTTGCAGGTACGAGCCGACAGCATGCATGCTGGGAGCATCTCTCTTGGCCCCTTGTCAGTTTTCCTGAGCCTCACTCTCTTCTTGATATTCTGTCTTGCCTCAGGGAGAAATGTCTGTCAGGAGAACACAGCCACGTGCAGATCCATCCCCCTCCAACTCCGTGGTAGACTTGTGGCCAGGTTCATTCTCCCATCTCTCTTCCCAGAAAGAGTGTTAGGGGTTAGCTTGGGGTGGGAGCCAGGAATGTCAAGCAGCTCTTGACACACACATGACACTTCTGCCCAGCCAGCTGGAGTGCTGGGCCATGCACATGGGATCAGTGTGGGACAGAATCCGAGCGACTACACCTGCAGATAGCTGTGGTCGCAGACACCTAGGTGTTTAGATTTTTTTTTTTTTTTTGGTAGATCTGCAATGAAATCCAGCAATTCTTGAATACTGGGCCAGGGCTCTACCCTGGCCACACCCCCAGCCCCTGGCCCTTCAGTTAGATTGTCCGGATCAGGGAGGTCAGTAGTCCTACGCCACAGTATTTGCTCACACGGCTGTGACAGTGCTTAGTAGGAGTGACTGTGTCCTGTACAGTCTTGGGTAATGCAGTTTCTCCCTTCCAAGGATCTGTGTGGTTTTATGCATCCAACACAATTTCCAGAAAACAGTAGCTTAGAGGCCAACAGTCCAACCATACCCCACCCTGAAGTGGGGACTAAGTTGGACTTTGGGGTATTGGACTCAAAGCATTCACAAGTTCAAGGCTATCCTCTGCTACATAGACTAGCCTAGGCTACAAGAGAATTTCAGTATCATTTGGGCTGGGTGTGGTATAACAGTACAGACCAGAGGATCTTAGGGAGCCTGAGGCCAGCCTGGTTTCCACGGCGGATCGCAGGCCAGCAGTGGCTACATGGCAAGTTCCAGAACAGCCTGGTCTGTATAAGAAGACTTTGTCTCAAAAGAAGTAATAAATAGAAGTGAAGTTGTCAAGATGGTGTGTTCCAGGGCAACAGGAGCTGCTGTTTAAAGGATCTGGGGCAGAGGGTACAGCCTATGCTAAGCTCTGGGGTAGGATGCGACCTGGCAAGTTGGAGGGGCATGAGCAAGCTGTTGTCCCTGCAGCAGGAGAGCCGGGGGTGGGAGAGGAGGGAGCCCGAGGGCAGAGTGTTCACACGGCTTTGGTCTTGCCTTTAGAAGGACCCGGGGTAATCATGGATGACACCCACCCCGTCCCAGGTTGTGGTCTCCTTGGGCACTAGAGATAGGGTTTGTAACCGTGCTTTGAAAATGTGGTCTGACAGCTGTGGCCAGGGCCATGGAGGGACAGGGTGGAGGGAAGTCCTGGGTGGGGGGACTCCAAAGGAAACTGACAATAGCTCCTCCCCTCAGGTCAGCTGGTCAGGAGGCCATGGAATTCCTGGACGCCCTCCTGTCAAAGCCAAAACCAAATGCTCATCTCCTCACACTGGAAGACTCTTAAACCTCTTAAACTACAGATGAGCCTGCCATGGGGTAGCATAGGATCTAATCTCCAAGGTCATCATCAGCTACATAGTGAGTTAGGGTCCAGCCTGGGCTATGTGAGGCCTTAATGACATTCCATCCTAATTTTGTTGTTTGGGTTTTTTTTTTAAGACAAGGTTTCTCTGTGTGGCCCTGGCTGTCCTGTAACTCACTCTGTAGCCCAGGTTGGCTTCAAACTCAGAAATCCACCTGCCTCTGCCTCCCTTGTGCTGGGACTAAAGTTCTGTGCCACCACTGCCCGGCTTCCATCTTGTCTCTCACTGAACCAGGAAATGTGGATTTGTCAAGACTGGCCTTCATGTGGTCTTTTACACAGGTTCTGGGAATCTGATGCCAGGCCTCGTGTTAACATAACACTCTGCAGTGCGGCCAGGACCTCAGGTCTTCCAATTATTTTGAAACAGGAAGCCTTAAGTTTCCCAGGCATCCCTAAACTTGTGATGAGCCTCCTGCCTCCACTCCCAAGTGCTGGGACCACAGGCCTGGGAGAGGAAGCTATCTTCTTGTGTTTTTTTTATTTCCCCTTAGGATTGAATTATCTTATTTTATTGGTTTTTCTTTTTTTTAAATCATGCAATTCTTTTTTTTAAAGATATATTTATTTATTTTATGTATATGAGCATACTGCAGCTGGATTCCATTACAGATGGCTGTGAGCCACCATGTGGTTGCTGGACCATGTGGTTGAACTCAGGACCTCTGGAAGAGCAGTCAGTGCTCTTAACCACTGAGCCATCTCTCCAGCCCTTTTTTTTTGGTTTTTCAAGACAGGGTTTCTCTCTATAGCCCTGGCTGTCCTGGAACTCACTCTGTAGACCAGGCTGGCCTTGAACTCAGAAATCCGCCTGCCTCTGCCTCCCAAGTGCTGGGATTAAAGGCGTGTGCCACCACCAACCGGCTGAATTTTTTTTTTTAAAGATTTGTTTAAATATATGAGTACACTGTCACTGTCTTCAGACACACCAGAAGAGGGCATCAGATCCCATTACAGATGGTTGTGAGCCACCACGTGGTTGCTGGGAATTGAACTCAGGACTTCTGGAAGAGCAGTCAGTGCTCTTAACCACTGAGACATCTCTCCAGCCCAGGAGAGAATCTTAATATGCACGGGCCACATGGGCCAACTCCTGGCTTGGGAAAGTCCAACACGCTCACCACAGTGGGACCAACCTCCTATGCCTTTCCTGTGCCATGTTTCTGCTACTACTCCTGCCATGTGCGTCAGGCTCAGGACAGGGACCCCCGTCAGGGATGACCCTGCCCTGGTCTCTAGTGTCACACTGGCCAGCCACTGTAGGTGGGAGAGGTTCCCAAACCCTGCAGCAGCTGGCCCCTTGCAGACCATCTCCTAACCTGGGAATCCATGGCCAGCCACCAGGGGGCGCAAGGACTCCGCAGATCCCTGTAGAACGGAGCTACACTGTGTGGGGTTGGGGGGAGATTTTTGGTTCTCTCCACACCCCAGTGCCATAAAAGACTACCTTAGAAAGCCCTGTTAGACAAAGTGACCCATGCTTATCCAAGCACAGCACTGCACCTCCCCAGGACTCGCTGGGTCGGTGCTCAATAGTCACTGGAAGGCTGAGTGTCCACAGTCAGAGCTAGCAGATGTGAGAACCGAGGCAGAAGGGTGAGACAACCGGCCAGACCACGTCACACATTCAGGACCCAGAGAGGATAGCCTTAAGGTATATAGCACTGGGGATGGTTTGCTGAGTGACTGTAGGACAGACACATGCTATAGGGAGGCAGAAATGAGCCCATAGCATAGAGGCCTGAGCAGGATGCACACTGGTTCCTGCATGTACTTCAACGTCTCATACTTCCTGTGCCGGTCTGCACTCAGTGTCGGGCAGACGAGGAAAAGATGGAGACGGTGTGTCTGTGCACAGTGCCTGCCACTCTGCTAGCATGTTCTGGAGTCCCGAGAACTCGGTGAGAGGGGAGGGATTTGTTCTTTTTTTTTTCCACTGTCTTGTAAAAAATAGTAGTTTGAAAAGGGACGAACATGCGTTCTTTAGAGGAAAGGTAGCCCAGGGTCTTGAAGCTTCTTACAGTTCTCAGATATGGTGTATACCTTTAATCCCAGTGTTCACTGGAGAGACAGACAGATGGAGCTCTGTGACTTCGAGGCCAGCCTGGTCTACACAGAGTTCCAGGCCAGCCAGGGTTGAGTACACAGTAAGACCCTGGTTAAAATATATGAGCTTCTAGGTGGGAGATTTTCCTGACTCATGGGACCCCAGAACAGAAGCCTGGTGAGGCTCCAACCATCGGGGATTTAGACTGGACAGCGCCGGGCAGCCAGTCGGACCCGGCTGTCCTCAGCAGGACTCCAGAGTCGAGCATAGCCAGCGTGAGGCAGCAGTAGCCGGTCCTGTGTGCCATCAGGGCTGACGAGTCGCCTGGCAGCCAACAGGTATTCTCGATGTGGGGCCAGTGGTGGACATGGACAGTGGCCCGGTGCCCACACATACTCTCGAGATCGCAGAGGTGAGCGGCTTTTGTAGATGAGCAAGACCCGCACCTCGTAGCGAGTATCCTGGGCCTGGCGGTGGTGGCCCAGCACACGGGCCTGGAACACTGTACGACGGGGACACAGAGGGTCATATGGGCCCTCAGGGCCTTTGGGTCAGCTGAGATCAAGGGTGAGGGTCAAAGCAACTATCCAGGTGGAGATAAGGATCAATGGGTTCAGTGTGGAAGGGGTCAAAGTTCAGGGGTCTCACCAAAGTCGCTGCCGCAGTAGTGAAGGAGCCGGTGTGCGCGACCACGGCTGTCAGGGCATGGCCCACAGGGGTCTACGGGGGTGTGTGTGAGTGAGATGAGCCTTGTCCCTGCCTGATGCCCCGCCCCCAAACCGCTGTTCCTGCCTCACCTGGTGCCAGGGATGCAACCCGGGCAGGGATGGCTTCAGGGACCACAGGGGTCTCTGCAGGTTGCCGCTCCACTTCCCGAGGCTGAGGCTGTCGCAGGGGCCAGCCAAGGGCCTGCACCTGAGTCTGGAAGGGGCCATAGCGCTCCCGGGGCAGCCAGAACTCGAAGTGCACGCCCGGGTTGGGCTCCCGCAGCAGTACCTGGAGCAGGAGGGCTCTCGGGAGCTGGTGGCCCAACCTCCCCTCAGCAGCGTGCCTCCCCATCTAACTGACCCCAGTGTCCCGCCTGTGCCCCGTCCCAAACTGTCCACACCGGCCCACCTGCAACAACAGCTCCTGGGAGGTGGGCCCGGTCGCCTGCAGAATCTCCTCTGGGCCGGCACTGCGGGTGTAAACTACACGGGTGCCCGCGGCCTCATAGGTGCCAGGCTGGCTGAGCACCCCGTCGCCGTTGAGCACGTAGTGCCCATCACGGGTCACCAGCGCTGCAAAGAATCAGTCACCCTGTGCTCGCGGGAACCGCCTGCCCCCAAGCCCAAGCCTCAGTTTCCCCAGAAGTCCGGAGGTACCCAGGTGGTTGTGGCTGCGCTGTGCTACGCGGATGTGCCTGGCGCCCTCGGGGATCAAAGTCACGTTCCAGTAGCCGGCGAAGGCACCTGAGGCAGGCGGGAGGTTGGGGTGTAGCGCGGCAGGATTTTCTGGGATGCGCTGGTGTGTGCAGGGGTGCGCTGTGGTGGAATGCACTGGGACGCATTGGGGTACACAGGGGAAGTATGCTCTGGAGTACGCAGAGCAGAGATACTCTGGGGTACACAGGGCGGGGACGCTCTGGGGTGCGCAGGGGAAGGATGCTCTGGGGCTCGCAGCGGCGAGGTACACTTTGGGTGCGATAGTGTGCTCAGGGACCGATAGCTGCGGATAAATGAGATGATACTGAGGGGAGGCAGGGAAGGGGTTAAAAGCGCATCTGTTCGAGGGAGGGTGGGAGGCTCTGTCAGAGACCAATCAGGGGAAGGGCTCGAGGAGCCAGGCCTTAGCCTGCCCAATCAACATGAGTTTTGGCTCCCAGGAGCCAAACGTGTTAAAGGGACACCCCTCTCCACCGTGCTCCTCGAGCGCAGGCAGTGAGGCGGGATGGGGCAGTCACCTGCGTCGCGGAACACGCGCTGCACGAACAGGCAAGAGTCGTTGGTGCCACCACAGAGGCCACAGCGGTCCTCGAGGGTGCCAGATCCCAGGAGCCCGTCACAGCCTGCGCTCTGCGGGGGACACTGGGTCAGGACGGGCGCGGCCTGAGAGGGCGGGGCCGGGGTGGGGCTAAGGAACAAGGTTTGGTTGGTGGGCGGGACTGGAGGAATTACAGGGGAAGGACCTGGTGGTAGGCAGGACCTGACTATTAAGGCGGGATTTGAAAGGAGGAAGGGTCTAGAAGGTGTGCTGGGCCTGGAGAAAAGAATGTGAGAGAAGCCAAAAATAGCGCGTGACTGGAAGGGTGGGTGGAGCCTGGAGCCATACGGGCGGGGCCCTGAAGGTGGAACCAGAGAGAAGCCCCAGTGGGGTTTGGGGTCTGAACTTGAACGATAGGTGGGTGGAGTGTAGTTTTTAGGGACGGGGTAGGGGTGGTAAAACTGATGTAATTGCCCTGAGTCAGTTTGGAGTGGGGCTCACGTTAAGGCGGAGTCTGCAGGGAAATGGGCGTGGTAAGGCAGGGTCAGTGGGTCCTCACCAGACAGCGGCCTGCCACGCAGAGACCCTGAGTCCCCAGGGTGCAAGGGGTGCCATCCAGCACGCGGCCAAAGCTGTGGTAGAAGGCGTGGCCTTCAGCCAGGCAGTTGAGGTCACACACATTGGGCGCTGAAGGCGGGACGGGTGGTGAGTCCGAGGCTTCCATCCCATCGCCAGTCCCAGGCCCCACCTCATCGCAGCTCAAGCTCAGCCTAAACCCCTACAGGCGCCAACACTTCCCAGGCCCCACGTCTCACTTTTTCCCTCTGGGCTCTGCCCTCTTCGTGACCCACTGACACCCTCCTCTCTCCAGACCGCTTGCTTGCCTGTTTTGAGCCAGGGTCCCTGGCTGTCCGAGAACTATGTAGACCAGGCTGGCCACCTGTCTCTGCCTCTCCGGTGCTGGTATTAAAGGCGTAAGCCACCACAGCAGCCCATACATTTTCCTACACCCCGAGTCTTCTCCCTCGCCCCAGTCCTCCACTCTTCTTGTCTCTTCCAGGTAGTACCTCTACCACTGTCTGTCTAGGCCTTCCCTCTCAGGCCACACCCCATTCTCTTCCATCCAGGTTCCGCCCCTCCCGGGCCCCACCCTTCTTCCTGCAAGCTCCGCCCTCCCCTTCAGGCCCTTCCTGGACTGTACCACTGGCCTGCAGTGTACCTCAGTTTCCCCTGCCTGTCAGATGAGACCCGCAGGCGCACAGCCTTTATCTCAACCACTTGGAAGCAGGCTGGCTGGCAGATCCTGCTGGGGACAAGGCCAACCTAGTGGGACGCTGTGGAGGTGGGACGGGGTAAAAGAAAGGAGGCCCAGAACTGATGGAATGCTCTGCGTTCTAGGCTCGTCTTATCTATCGCCACCACGCTGGCGGCTGAAGCTGCCTGTCTCCCTTCAATCTGGAGGCGTGCTGCCCCGGGCACCCAGTTATATAAGCTGCTATTTTCAGCTCCGTGCGACAACATTTCCTGTTAGTGGGATCAGTTTGAAAACTGTTGGCCTCTGGATGAAGCTCTATATCAATTCTCAGCCTGGAGTTTGACCCTATGCAAAAGAGACTGTGTGCTTCCTTCACCAACTCCTACATATGCTTTAAAGCCTCATTCCAATGTCCGCCTCTCACAGTATTTCTTAACTCCTCTCAAGATTCTCTTTTTCCTTTTAACCCCAGGAGATCAGGCTACTCACCCCCGTGGAAGGGCACCCATTGGTAAGTTTTCTGGGTGCCCAAGACAGGGTGGCCATTGTAGAGAGAACACTGCAGGTCTCGGAATGGTATGGCCCCTGGCAGGCAGTCCTGGAAAAGGATGAAGGTGGATGGGTAAAACTAGGCAAACCAACAAGGGGTATTTGGGGTGGACAAAACCAAGCAAGAGGGATTCAGGGCAGATTCGAGGGCCTACCGGCAGCTGGCACACCCGGTATTCATGGCTGTCCCCCCAGCAAAGTTCCTCCCCGGGAAGTCTGCAAAAACCAGAGTGGTCTGTGTAGCAGGAACCCCCCACACGCCCTCTCAGAGACCCCTTCCCGTCAACCCCAGGCCACCCTCCGCCCCCACCAACCCCACCCGCATTCCAGCTAGCTCTGTAAGATTAAAGGGCACACTGCATGTGTGGGCAGGCAGAGGGCGCGGCCCGACGTGCGGCGGAGGGGAGGGGCTCCCGGTTTACCGGACACAGTGGCGTCTGCGCACTGAGACGCCCCGACCACACGAGCTGGAACACCTGCTCCAAGACCCCCAGGGCGTCCACTCTCCGGGACCCTACTTGATGGCAGAAAGGAGGGTCAGCAGGAGGAGAGCTGGGGTCCCCTCATCCACACTCCTATGTGCTTCCTGGACTCATTCACTCCCTTACCTGAACAGCGCCCCTGACATCACAGCTCAGGAGAGTCCACAGCAAGAACAGAAGCGGCGGGAAGAGGCGGGGTCTGAGGGAGCACGGGGTCCCCAAGAGGCGGCGATCGGCAAGATCAGGGTGAACTGCCATCTCAGCCCTGGTTGGCTCTGTGACATTCGATGGTAGCCAAACCTCTCTGGGTCCTCTTGTCTCTAAAAAGAAATGCGGTAAGAGCAGCCTTGCCCTGTCTCTGGAAGCCTCGAGGGAGTACAGGCTCAGGTCAGACACATGGTGGAGGACTAGGAACTTTATGTGTTGTTATTTGGCTTAAAATTTAATGGTATTTGTAGAAGGCACACTCCTTTAATCCCAGCACTTGGGAGACAGAGAAAGGCAGATCTGAGTTCGAGGCCAGCCTGGTCTACAGAGTGAGTTCCAGGGCAGCCAGGGCTACACAGAGAAACCCTGTCTCGGAAACAGTGTACAGACACACACATTTGTGTGCACACACTGCAGTGTTGGAAGATGCCAGCAGCACCAGCTCTTCTGCTGAGCTGACTTACAGTTGCTCACAACTCGGCGTGGGTGCGTGGAACCAATCGTGGGTTCTCTTAAAGAGCAAGAGAAGATCTTGAACCCTCAGTGTCTCTCCAGCTCCTCCTGTGTTTATTTGAGACACTGTCTCAATATGTAACTCAGGCTGTCCCAAAACTCCCTATGTAGCCCAGGCTGGTCACCAACTCACAGAGACCCACCTGTCCCTGCCTCCCAGGTGCTGGGATTAAAGCCATGCACCACGTGCCTGGGTTATCTCTCTCTCTCTCTTTATTATTATTATTTTTTAGACAGGATCTTGTAGCCCAGGCTTGTCTTAAACTTCCTAGGTAGCTAAGACTGAGTGACCTTGAACTCATGCCGTCCCTGCCTCCCCTCCGAGACAGTAGACACTGGGCATTGGCTCTAAGACAGGCTTCTTCTTTTTTTTCTTTTGAGATGAGGGTCTTGATCCGTAGCTCACCTAGGCTGAAACTCTGAAAAATCCTCCTGCCTCAGCCTCCTGGGACAAGGCTCATAAGCTGGACTGCCACATTCCCCTCTTAATCTGCTATTATTACAGATAGTATGTTCTTTTATAATGCATACAGTAGGTGCCTCACGACAACGACTGAAGGAATCCTTTAAGAACAGTGATTGGGTGGCTGTAAGTTTAGTCACCCCTTTCATTTACCTTCCTGGGTGGCCAGGAACCAACCATTCCGTTTCTCCAGGCCTCAGTTTCCCCATCTGTGCAATGAAAACCCATGGGACCCCGTCCGTGAGTCTCTGAGACCCTGTAGAGGGGCGCCCAATGGAGGCTCATTCAGAAACTCGGGGTAGAATGGGTGTCCCCCTCCCAGCTGCACCCCAGCCTCTGGGGACCGTTGTGCTCCCAGATACCCCGTAGCCTAAGGAAAACACTGCCCCTGCCCTGTGGTAGGCGCGGGGAAGGCTGACCTGGCCTCCTGCCAACATGTGTGTCATGGTCTCATCTGCCAGGTGTGCGGGCTGCGGTGCCCAGAAGGTCTGCAGACAAGAGGGGCAGGGTGGGGCTGAGTGGAGGCCTCAGTTTCCCCAACCAGATGAAGTCATTTTCGGCCCACGCCCTCCTCGTGATCCCAGCCTGCCAAGATCATCCAGGAGGGAAGGAAACCAAAATGAAGAGCGTCCCCTGGGCCCGGGCCAGGCTCTCTGAAGGGCACACGGGCTCTCAGCGTTCCGCAGCCCACCAGGGTCCAGATACCTGAAGAAGGAGTAAGGACGGCCAAGAGCCCCTAGCCCGGCTGGAACCAGGGTCTCCCCGATTGTCAGCCAATCTGATGCCCTTTAGGGCACCTTGGGACTGAGATGGCTGTAAGTTGGAAACCCATGGGAGCTGCTTCAAGACGCCCGCCAGACCCCTCCCTCTGCTGGCCCAGAGACTGGGCTGTCCCGTGAAGGAAGAAGGAGGCTGAGCAAGGGCCGTCGTGGAGTGGGGGCTTTTATCCATGTCTGTCAATACCCTCTCCCGAGTACTGCATCCCTCTCCGGCATTGGTGCACCAGTCACTGGGGTGCCAGTCTCCTGAGTTTCAGTCCCATCCCGAAGGAAGTGCGACCCCAAACTCACCACCATCCTAGGGATCGCTGCTTTCGCTCCAAGGAGGGAAAGAAACCAATCTTATCGCCGCCGCCACACCAGGTGGAATAGTGGCAGGATGTGAAGAGGGACTTACCAGTTGCTCAGAGCCCAAGGCAATGCGCCCAAGCTTCCCTGGGACGTCCCAGAGACTAGCGGAAGTGGCGGGGCCCCAAAGTGCGGGACTGCGAAGTCGGTCGATCCCTCCCACCCGGGCCTCCCAGGCGCGCCCAGGCTGGGGTCACCGAGGGCGCAAGCCAGGGGCGCCCTCGTGCGGTGGGAGAGAGCGCACGCATTGAGCCTGGATCTGCGGCAGGGGGCTGACCTACTGCGCCTGACAGCACAGCGACCCAGCATTGGTCCTGGTATCCTGGGTGCCAGTGACCTTGGGAAGTCCAGCTGCGGTGTGGTGCGCGGGGGTGACTGGACTGCTATTCCGGGCGCCTAGCTCAGGGCCAGGGAATGTGCCTAGCGCTGGGGCTTGGGGTGGGATAGTACACACCAGGGTGCCCGCCCACCCTCAGTACCCCGTCCTGCTCCGCATCACCTCGCAAACAGATTCCCTACCCTGGTCCCCATCACCCGCTTAGGCCATGCTCCTCGCTCCGTTCCTGCAATCCCAGGGACCCCAACCCAAGTCATCATCCCTGCAGGGGACTTTCCATCTTGTCCCCATTAACTCCAATTAGACCTCTCCACTCTGGTCCACATCATCCTCCAGTTAGACCTTCCTGCCTTGGTTCGCATCTCCCCTCCACAACCAGACTCCTCACCCTAGTCCCCGGCTCCCCTCACGCGGCCCCGCGCGCCCGCTGGGGGCGGAGGGACCCTCCCTGCCGTACATTCCCAGGCGCTGCCGTCACCGAGGCTCCACCCAGTCCCGCCCTCTAGGCCCGGGCGCCAGTGCAGCTTCCCTCTCCTGGTTTTAGCCTCAAGCCCCGCCCCCCGCCTCAGTTTCCCCATTCCCAGTACCCTACCAGCTTCTTGTGGAAACCCCGACCCCATCGCCTTCGTGGCGCCCCCTGGCAGCCGGGCAGAAGGCCGCGGCACTGCGATGATCAGTGCTGTGTGGACTATGCTGTTCCTGGGCGCTGATCTCGCCTCCTCTAGGAAGCCCACCTGGCTCACCCTTGGTCCGGAAAGCTTTCCTCACAGGGCGCAGTACATGCTGTATGCACTCCCTGAAAAGCACACTGCCTGTAGAATTACTCCTTGCAGGGGACAATGTCTGCTGTATACATGCCTCAGGGTAGTCTGCAGGGCAGGGCTCAGCACGGGGCAGCCTTTGGAAACATCTCAGAGTATAACCACTCCGGGACATTACGCAAGCCACTGTGTGCACATAGCTATGGGCACAGCAGCCAACCCCAGTGCGGGGAGGTGGCCACTCTGGGCCATGATTCCAATTTCTGATACCCATCATCCTATTGAAGAAAAGATGCTAAGGCCAGTCATGGGGTGTCAAGAGAACCCCTACAGAAAAATAACCACTAAAGGGGGCCAGAGAGAATGGTGGCCTAGCCAGGCTCAGCAGGAGAATGAGGGACAATGCCAGTATCCTACTGTGAGAGGAAGGGACCCCAGCAAAGCGGAGATGAGGACCGTGTTGGAGAGAAAAGCCCATGTAGCACGTGTTCTGTTCTGGAATACAGTAGTTATGCACTCTGCATGGAGGATTACAGCAGACACGTACTTACAGGAGAAAACATGCAACAGACACTGTACTCTCCAGGAGTGCATATAGTAGGCACTGAAGGGGAGTATACATTGGGTGCCCTGTCCTTCATGATACATGTATACAGGAAACACTATGTCTGGCAGAGTGAGCATACACCCATCGCCATGCCTGGCATGGTGCATATAGACGACAGGCCGTCTTCCTTGCAGGGATCCTATACAGTAGGCACTTGGCTGTGCAACAACTGCCTACAGTGGACACTCTGCCCTGAGGAGTGTGTCCAGTGGACAGGGCTCTTTCCCCAGAGTCCCTACAGCAGTCTCTATCGCAGTGAAGCAGGCACCCAGCAAAAACTGAGGCCTGCAAGCAGGCCATAGAGCGGGCACTATGTGTATACTGGAGCGTATACAGTAGCCGGTATCCCCCGCAGGGTGTGCGCACAACAGGCACGCTTCTGAACCTCTCTTCAGTTCCGACTCAGTCCAGCAGAGGGCGCACCAGAGCTCTGTTAAGTTTGTTGTTAAACTGCTCAGGACGGGAAGCCTGCTGGTCCACGCGCACTCCCAGCTGGGTACCCACCCTCGGAGCTCCTTCTAGGACCCATTCGCCTCGGCCAGGATGGGATTGGGGCAGGGGGCAGGGCTTAATGGGGTTCTTGGCTATCTGTAAGGCCAGGGCCCCGGGCTTACAAACCAAATGGCCAACAGCTTGGCTTATGCACTTTAATGTTTATCAAGAGGGTACAAGTGGGCGTGGCCATACACACTTGTCACCCCAGCACTGGACGCGTGGAGGTAGGAGGATCAGGAGTTTGAGGTCATCCTCGGCTACATAAGATGCTTGAGCCAACCTAGGCTACATGAAACTGTTTCAGCAAAACAAGACACGTCTCACTTGGCACAACCGTCACTGAGCAAGTGCAGAGCCTGTATCACTCCCAACACAGCAGCCAGGAGATGTGATACACACCTGACATCCCAGAATGCGGGAGGTGGAGGCAGGAGGATCAGAAGCTCATCACTGGACACAGGCTGAGTTCCAGGCCATCCTGAGCTCTAGAGTGAGGGTCTCTGAAGGGAGGGTGGGGGGCTGTCAGGCCTGTTCTCAAGGGAACCTTGTGGTGCCCCGTGCAGCCCTTGAAACTCTCCCCAGATCCCTGAGGCCACCTGATCCCCAAGATGCTCCCTTCTGCCTCCCAAGGACAGTGGGGTCCTATGACTGCTATCCTGACTGGAGTCTCTCTGGGGCTCCCAGATGCCCCATGGCACAGGGGTAGGGGCAGAATCAGGACCCACACTGTCATGGTCATCCTGGGCGTGGGTGTTGGGAGGCTCTGGGCTCCTGTCTTTTCTCTTGGGAGCTCACTAATGGAGAAAACTTTTGGTTCGGTTGGGATAATCCTGGTGGCTGACACTGACTGAGCTCCCAGGACCTGCTGCACCATCAGTCCCAAAACTGGAGAGCGAGGAGAAAGAAGCAGAGCGAGCCTGAGCCTGGAGTTCTCACACCAAGCATGGTACTTGGTACTTGAAGCAGGGTACTCCATTGTTCTTTACTGTGGCAACATTGGGTTTGGGTTGCGTGTGTGTGTGTGCCCCTGTTGTGTGCACATTTGTGTGGACACTGGAAGTGGACTTCAGGTGTCCTTGTCAGTTGCTCTCTCCTGTGGTTTTTCAGACGGGGTCTCTCTCTCACTGAGGTACCAGGAAACCGGGATCTCCTTTTTAAAAACAGGGTTTCTCTGTGTAGCCATGGCTGTCCTGAAACCAGCTCTGTAGATTAGACTGGCCTCGAACTCACAGAGATTCTCCTGCCTCTGCCTCCCAAGTGATGGAATTAAAGGTCTGTGCCACCACCGCCCACCCAGCTCCCATGCATTTTTTTTTTTGAGATAGGGTCTTAACTAGTCCAGGCTGGATTTGAACTCTTTCTGTAGAGAAGGATGACCCTGTCCCTAAACCTCGAATCACCCTGATTCTACCTACTGAGTTTTTGGATGACACGTGTGTGTCAGTATGCCTGGATCACTCCCCCGCTCTCCCCACCCCCATGTCTGCTGACACCCAGCTCTTTTCCTGCCATTAGCAAAAAGACCCACGCAGACAAAAACGGATCACTCCTGCAGAAACCTGGCCAGTTCCAATGGCCACACAGCACCCTGCTCAGCGGGTCGAACATCAAACAACGTCCCTGCTCAAAGGTCAGTGCCATGTCCGCAGGAGAAAGATAAAGGGAGGGGCCTGTGCCGCAGGAGTCTCACCTGCTGGGCAGTGGCACTCAGGATGCAGGTCCCCTGAGGACATCAACTCAGTCAGCAGGAACATGAATGACTCAGGGGTAGCACAAGGACCATGCAAACCTGAGCCAGCAGGGAGAGCCAGCCCACTCTGGGAGCAAACAAGGAATGCAATAAGATCAGAATATAAGGATGATTCCTGCCTCCAGCTCCTGAGTGCCACCGCCCGCTTGGAATCATGTCCTTGATCCTCCAGCTGTACATGTGCCACAGAGCCTCACCCCGCTTGTGACCGTGTGGATGGGGCACACTGTATGTCCATCATCTGTCTGTCCATCCAGTGGATACTGGCCAGCCTAGAAAGAATACTCTGTGGAGATGCAGCCCTGTGTGCCGAGGTCCTGGGGTGGGATAGGCTTGCCGTGGGCATGGGAAGTCACAGGGAGAGAGAGGGAGGAAGGGACGGGTGTATGAGGGGCACAGGGACCTCACTCCACTCGAGCCTAGAGGTACCACAGCATGGAAATCTTCAAGCTTCCTGGCCATTCTGAGATGGGCTCAGCTTATATCCTGGGCAGAGGCCATGGCCAATGAGTCCAGGCTCAGGGGTGACACATTCCTGTGCTCCTTTCTGACTGTGAAACCCTCTACCCAGTTCTCAGAACCCCCACTTTGGTTTGGGTTTCAGTGGCCCAACCCACTGAGGGTCAATCAACTTCTGCCTGATTCTGCAGACAGGCTCTGCCCAAAGCCCTTCCCTCAGAGTAGAGATAGAGAAGGGGTGTGAGTGGCCCCTGTCAACCCCCCAACACACTGCTGCCACTAGCGTCACCCACTATCCTGGGCAGTCAGCACAGTGGGGGTCCCTCCCGCACACACTCATGCTGGGTCATGCCGCCTAGATCCTGGAGTGTTCAGGTGGCCACTTCCTCCTTGTGCCTGGGACGCCAAGTCTCTGGGGACATTTTGTAAGTGGCTGAGGGCTCACGAGTGCAGCCATGTGGAGCCCAGATAGGGACAAGGAACTGTTCCTCAGTCATGTGGCTGGGAGGCCTGGGCCACCTCTTAAGGACCCATACACACGGCTGAGAGTCTCCGGGGCCTCTGGAGAGGCTCAGCAGCAAGGAGCAGCCACCCCTTCACCTGCAGCAGGCATTTTGAGCAATGCTTCCCAAAACTTCTCCAGAGAAATCTGCTGAGTC